ACACCACAGATTTCAACCACTGCACAGAGACCTGCCATCTTCAGAAGTTTTCTGATGACACTGCAGTGGTTGGATGCATCGGTGAGGGTGATGAGACTGGGCTATGGTGGACTCTTGTTTCATGTGGAGCAGCAGAATAATCTGCACCTCAGTGTGACAAAGACAGAAGAATTGACTGCTACCAGGAAAGCTGTGACCCCTGTTTAAATCCAGGGGGCTGACGTGGACGTAGTGGAGGACTAAACCTTGGAGAATAAACTGGACTGGGTTAAAACACCACTCTAGAGTAGTGTTTAACTGAAACAATCTTGGGTGGAGGAGTAAACATGATCATGTAAACAATGCTGATAGGGTAAGGGCAAACAATGTAAAAAATACTGGTCACAAGTGGACACCAGTCATTTCTTAATATTTTCATAACACAAATAATGGTATAGTAATAATAAATAGTTTGAATCCCACGTTTAGTTACTTTACAAAACAAACATTGATTTCCTGTAATTTAGAGGATTTGGAAAATTGGAAAACCTGTAAATGTATTTTATACTTTTATAAAGTGAAATTTGTCACACAAGAACCACACAACCTTTAGCCTATTTCTGTAAAATATGTGGATTATTGTATTTACATGTGTTTTCCCTTATTCACAGCTTCTTCTGTGACTAACAACTCCTGGCCTCTCATTCCTGCTTTCTTTCTGGTCAGACTCTAATGCCATCTAGCGGTTATATCTGCATACTGCATTGCCACTGATCTTGTGGTTTCCATTTACTGCTGCAGGAAGATAGATTTGTAATTCTTGTTTTAAGCATAACTATAAATACATAAATTCCCTGCTGCCCCCTTTTCCTTATATATATACTAGTTTTGATAATTAATGAGTTACCTATCGTTGTTTGCAGCCAATTCATTTGTAGAAAATGTGCACAAATTTACACAATAATACAATTATTTTAACAGCAGTTCACTGGTCTGATAACTTCCAGAGCTGGGAACCATCAAAAAATTGTACGTACCATATATGTTTGAAATCAATGTATATAAACTAATATAAACTACTATTAAGATGAATGAAGGTGAATTATACAATATGTGTTATATGCAGGGCAACTGACTACTCAAATCCAGTAAAAAACAATACACCTACAGTACAGCTTTAATGCTAAGCAGTTTTTAGCTCAGTTAAAGTTCCTTTTTAAGTTACAAACTATGTTACAGTTTCCTAATTCCACTGCAGTAAGACCACCAGCTGTCAGCATGGAGATGGTGCAACACGCTGAAGATGAGTGGGCTTCAAATGACTGTTTGAATTTTTGTAAAAAGTTAATTGTATGTATTTTTTTTTATCACTTTTAACCAATAGCAGATGTTATACTTTTTAATCACATTGCGGTATGTGTAATAGACTGGACTGGACAGATTTGTATAAAACACAGACATGACAGAACCAGATTGTTAAGATATTTTGTCACTGTCTGTTGTATCACATCGGCAGTGTTTTATAACCCTGGTTTCAGTTCTTGTTTGTTGGTGCTTGAGTGTGTTATCATTGTGTCACCATCATTGACTCTGTACTTCTGCTTGTGCTCAAGTTCTCTCTGTATGTATCCAGGTGACTTGAGTGAACTTGTTAAATACAGGTATCTCAAAATATCTGCATATTGTAAATGTATGAACAATGTATGAGTATTTTCAAAGGAAAACAAGGGAAAGAACAAACATACATCAGATACAGTGCTGTGAAAAAGGATTATTCCCTTCCTGATTTATTGCATTTTGCACATTTTACACACTTAAATGTCAGATTATCAATCAAATTGTAATAATAGACAAAGACAACATGAGTATGTAGAATATAGTTTTCTTAAGTTCTAATTTAATTTATTAATTTAAAAAAACAACTAAAAAAACTAACCAAACCTTCCTGTGTAACAAATTAAACCAATGGGCTTTGCCCCCTTTTGTTCTCTCTTTTTTGCTGAGTTATTTGAATGTAGCCACAATTGAAGGTTTTTGAGCATGAACAGAAACACAATGAACCAAAAATACAGTAGAAAAAGAGAGACGGGGCAGGGTTAAAGAAAGATAAAATGGGACAAGATATCATTAGTGGAAAAACCCCCCACTAAAGGTTAATGTTCATTCCAGACTTTGCAACAGCTGTTTTTCCCAAATAGTCCACAACCCTTCTCTTTGAAGCCAAAGTTCAAATTATATTCCTTTTTATGTTTGAAATTCTGTTACTTTCTGTTAATTTGTGGATTTAATCTACGGGAAAGACACCAGCTGTAACCATGGAGATGGCACAACATGTTGAAAGTTTTGAGAGTGCTGGTGTCGTCACAGTGCATAACTTCTAACAGAAAAGTTGCACAGAAAGGTACAACACATCTCATTATTTACAATATATGATCTGTAATGGCATATAATGGATTAAAAATGTTGCAAAATAAATGCATGACTGGATCGCATCTTCACACAACACCAGTACTGTTGTGTCCTGAGTCACTTCACAGCGTTGTTTTCTAGAAATCACAAAATACAATGTAATGCACAGAGGATAAAAAGAGAGAAAGACTAATTTACTTTTACAGAAGAACAATACCATTTGTATAACAATGTATACTTTATTGAGCCCCATGGGGAATTTCCTTCTCTGCATTTGTGGGCAGCCACCAATCTAGCGCCCGGGAGAAAGCGTGTCGGCTAGCTATTCAGGGCATTGAACCCCTGACCTTCCGAACATGAGAACACCAACCTAACTACTGAAAAATCCCTTCATCTGGGATGTCTTCTTGATCAGTCTGTTCTGTTTCTTTTGTCCCAGAGATACTGATGCCCCAGCACACCACAGCAGATTCATAGAAGGGCTTCAAAAGATCCTCATGCACTCCAAAATTTGCAAGTGTCCATTGCAGATGCAGCCTGCCCAGTTCTTTCCTGTAGATGGTATTTTTGTTGTTAATCCAGTCCAGTTAATTGGTCAAGTTAACAACCAGGTTCTTTTATTGTATGAGTCTACTGTCCCTTTTCACATTTCTTTATCTCAGCTCATAGAGTTTATGTGAATTGTGAAAAACTCCCCAGTAACTGATGTTAAAAACATCTATGCAAATTTTTGGCTTTGGCTAACTGTTTATATCATCATCACTCATCATAGTTTATTTATATAGCACTTTAAAAACACACAAGGCTGACCAAAGTGCTGAACAATAGAAACATAATAGATACCATAAGAATAATAAATACGATAAAATAATAAACATAGCGAAAAACATAAATAAAATACAAGTCAGTTAACCACTGAGTCAAAAGCCAGTGAATAAAAATGCGTTTTCAATCTGGATTTAAAAACCAGCACTGATGTCGATTGCCTAATGTGAAGAGGAAGATTATTCCAAAGCTTAGGGCCACAGATAGAGAACGCGGTCTCCTCTCAGTTTTTTTTTTTTTTTTTTTTTGCCTGTCCCATTTGGTTCTTTAGCCGTCAGAATTGTTGTCTGAAGACCAACAAGGATACCCAATGGATTTACTTTGCCAAATGGATCATCACGGCCTTGCCGTATTGGTCCATTTGATCGAACCTTTGTTGTTATTATTTATTTTATTTTAGTTTTACAGTGGACAGACATGACTGAGGGATAGGAAAGGGAGAAAGAAAGATGAAGGAAAAGAAAAACAGAAGGGAAGAGGGACAGTGAGAAAGGGCACTTAAAAAGAGAAAGAAGAGAAAAAAAATCTCCTGGATCACCTGTTGAGAGAAAAAGAAGAGAAACAACAAACAAGCAACATACTAAACACAACACCATCACGCATTAATCTAGCTAAGTGTAAACAGCAGTAAATACTAAATATTGAATGTTGTTGTGCAGCAACGCAGGACCGACAGCGCACAATGTGCTTGGAAGTAGCAGCCAATAAAGGTGTAGTTTATGTCTATGAACAGTGAACACCCATGTGCACACCTGTGTGGATCAGGCGCTTGTATTCAAAAGTTTCCCCATGTAATGGTCTGCTAGAGGGTGTAGGAGAGCCATAGCCCTCGTCCCCCAGGGGCATGAAGCAGGCATGGATAGATCCCAGAGACCACCGGAGGGGCATCCGTGCCACCCTCCTGGGAAGAGCTGAGAGAGCCCCAGAGAGGGTCACCCAGCAGCCACGGAGCAGAAGCAGAGGGGCTGCACTGGCTGCCCGGCTCTGGGAGCAGTGCAGCCAGCTGTGCCAGAGTGAACCGAGCCGCAGGCCCAGAGGCGGAGGCCCAGGGCCCCCCGCACCCCGGAGGAGGCCTGACCAGCAACAGGCGCCAGGCCCCGCCAAGTAGCCACCGGGAGTGAGCTGGTACATACCTGAGCGCCCAGCCCCGGACACCAAGAACCACCAACGCACCGACCCCTGAGGGCATCAGTCACCGGCAGGGAGTGTGGTGAGGGGAGATAGGCCCCTTTGGAGGGCCTGGGAGTTCCCAGAGAGGTGGAGTCTAAGACCCGACCTGACATATAGACACAGACAAACAGGCACACACAGACACAAACATGCATTCCCACCCTCATGCACACATATACAAACACTCAGCACTCACCCAACGTAAGGATTGACATAAATGGACATGTACACACAATCACACTCCCCAAACATACTCTATACCCCGGGTCCAGGTACCCTCGCCCCGAGGGGGAAACAGCACCAGACCCAGAGATGTTACCCTTTCCCCCGGGGTGGAGGCAAGCAGACCGCCCCAGGCTCCGCAGCAGCAGGGAGGCCCCGCATCCCAGATCCCAATCGGACGGCCAACACCTCCTCCCAGCCCCCCCACCCCGATGGCCAGCAAGAGAACGCGGTCTCCTCTCAGTTTCAGCCATGATTTGGGGACTGAGCGCAACAGCTGCTCAGCTGACCGGAGCGAACGAGTGAGGACATAGGGCTTCAGCAAATCAGACAAATATGCAGGTGCCAGACCATTTAAGGATTTAAAACCAATAAAAGAATTTTAAAATGAATCCTAAATACAATTGGAAGCAGGGAGGCCAGAACCGGAGTAATGTGCTCAAATTTCCTTCTACCAGATAAAAACCGTGCTGCAGCAGTAAATGCAGCTAACTGTAAAAGTGCAGACTAACAATAGAAAGATAACGTATTAATGTCAGCCCATTCGATAACTTTCTTAACTTAAGCATATATAGGACATTCTTGCAACATGACAACAAGAAAAGGGAAAGATTTATCCTTTAAAGTTTTTTTTTGAACAGAAATTGTGTGGAATTAGTTGCATATATGTAGCTAAAGAAACTGCTGGCAAAAAAATAACCTACAGCTGTATATATCACCTTATGCTCTAAATTAAAAACTGCTCACCATCTGGTGATGTGCGTCAGTCAAAGCACACCAGAGTCAGAGTCCTCTATGCTTCCTTGGCTCTAACCACAGGTCCAAATGCAAAACCTTTGAAACTTGGGTCAAGCAGTGTGCCCAAGTCAAACACCCGCAATGATTCATATGTCGCACATCTGATGTGCAGGAAATCCTTCAAGTGTGACCCTAATGTACAAAACAAGAACAAACAGTGAAATATTAATAAAATTAACAGACGCGGTCTGATTTTTATGGCCAATTATGCAGTAACTACACATAGTTATACTCTCACAGCAACTTATGTAACTGTATAGTGGGCTCTAGTCCTACAGGTTTCATTTTTGCAGACAGTTTGTTTGCATTCTCTCCTCCTCTGACAGCTCTGTTGTTGCAAGCTCAAATGATTGAAGGAGTGTCATACATCCATGAATAACGCCATAAAGCTTGTCAGTGGAATGATCACACAAGTTGGGACGTGCAGCTCCCACTGGCTCACATTGCTCATACAACTATTGCAACATGCCAAATGTGCTCTTCCATCTTGTCGTCATTTCTTGAATCAGTTTCAGTGGCGGTCTGCCCATTAAGCCCTGTATCTCCACTAGCTAACCCTTTTCTTTATTTTTCTTACTTTCTACATTGTAGATACATATTGAAGAGATCAAATCTATGGAATTATGTAGCAAAGAAAACATTGGTAAATTACTCAAAATGCTTAATATTTTAGATTCCTCTGAGTAGCCACCCTTTGCTTTGTTGACTGCGTTACAAACCCTCGGCCTTTTTTCAGTGAGCTTCATGATGTAGTCACCTGAAATGTTTTTTTTATTTCACAGGTGTGCCTTGTCAGGGTTCATTGTGGAATTTCTTCAAAGTTGAAGGCACACTGAACCAGCATAGCTACTACAGCACCCTGCAGGAACATGCCATTCCATTCGGTTTGCGTTTAGTTATTTAATTGTTGTGTTTAGTTTATTTTTCAACAGGAAATTGACCCCAAACACCTCCAAGCTGTGTAAGGGCTATTTGACCAAAAAGACAGTGATGGGGGGTTGTGCCACATGACCTGGCTTCCAAAGCCACCTGACCTAAACTCAATAGAAATGGTTTGCAGACGGAACGCAGAGAAGGCAAAAGAGTCAGCAGTGCTCAGCATCTCTGGGAACTCCTTCAAAACCATTTCAGATGACTACCTCATTGAGAGGATGCCAAGAGTGTACAAAGCACTAATCAAAGCAGAAAGTGGCTCTTTTCAAGAATCTAAAATATAAAACAAGATTTGAGTTATTTTACAGTTTTTCGTTTACTATATAATTCTATATGTGTTCAAGTCATAGCTTTGATACCTTGAGTGAAAATCTACAATGTAAAAATTCATGAAAACAAACACAAACCAATGAATGAGAAAGTGTGTCCATTTTTTTTTACTGGTAGTGTATATGCAAATGACTTAAGTAGTCTATCACTCCAAAAATTACACTGTGATTCGTTATATATTGCACTGTCGACATCCGCATTAAAAACTAATACGCAGCCACACTAAACACACTTTTCTGCTGTCTTTTTTTGCTTTAATTCAAGTTTTAAATTTATTTTTGTGAAGCACTTGCAGCAGTATTTATAAATGTTTCTCTAAAGTCTGCTCAACACCAGATATGACCCTGCACAGGAAGCGGAAAACCTCAGCTGCATATTAAACATTAATGTTGCTTCAGTGTCACAGTGAGCAAGACAGCATGGAGGTCATAGTGTTCTACAGTAAACTCTGTGAGTGCAGTATGTCTCTTGTCTCATGTACTTTACTTAAATATGCACTTATTTTTGTTTTCTTTATTGTGTAGCAAGGGCTTACTTCTTATTCTACCACAACGTGTTTTATTAAAAAAATAAAATAAAATTAAAAAAAAAAAATATATATATATAGTCAATATTATTATATTGTGTCTATAATGCATATTAGTATGAAAATCATCTTTATAAAGAAAAATCTGTTTATTTCTACAGGGTTGATGGTGATGACGGCACATGTGCATACAAGTTATTCTACGATGTCTTGTAAGTAGCATGAATTGAAGTCATGTTTTTAGCCCTTCTGCCTAAATCCTTACTTTGTACTAAACTTGGATTTTGTGTTGGGATTGGTAAACCTCAATTTTTGGATCTCTGGGAACTCAGCAGATTACTGCATTTTCCTTCTTTCTCAGATTCGCCTTTTCATATCACTCCATCCAGACTGCAGCTCTTTGAATATGAGTCAGTCTATTTTACCTGTGAAGGGGTTAATATTTCAGCCGAATTGAAAGTGAGGAACATTCGGCAAGTCCTTTCGAAATGTTCAAATAGCACTGTGATGAAAAGGTGCGGGATCAAATATGCCCTTGCTTCAGATAGTGGAGAATACTGGTGTGAGAGTGAGGCAGAGAGAAGTAATGCTGTCAGTATAACTGTTTCAGGTATGTTATTATCAGAATTAACATGTAAAACTGAAAGTTCTGTGATTAGCCATTGCAGATTTATGAATTTCTACATTTCTTCACATTTTCAGCTGATGCTGTGATACTGGAGAGTCCTGTCCATCCTGTGGGGGAGGGAGATGCTGTTACTCTGCACTGTAGAAACAGGAAGACTTCCTCAAATTTCACAGCAGATTTCTACAAAGATAACTTCTTCATGGGCACCAGATATGAAGGAAAACTAGAAATCCAAAAGGTTTTGATGTCTCATGAAGGACTCTATAAATGCAAAATACATGGAGTTGGAGAATCACCAGAGAGCTGGGTGGCTATCAGAAGGAAGTCGAATGCAGGGGAAGGTATGGTTTTTCTGTTTATTTACTTATTTGGTAGTATTTGTAAATTTATAATCACAGAACATCCGTGCTTTCAGTAAGCAGTTATAAGTGTCCTGCAGTACTTCAGAAATACTATTCAAATGTACTTAATCCCAGCAATCCTGGCTACCTGTCATGATTCAGCTGCGTAACAGAGGCAGGTTAGGACCCAAATGCAAACTCACAGAGACACGAGGAATAACGTCAAAAGAACTACTTTATTGTAGGAATAAAGGGAAAACAGAGAATTAAAGTAAACTGGGAAATGATTAACTGAAATGCGAGGAAACACAGAGAAACACAGCAATGAGCGAGGACGCGACATGGAATGGAGGGAGACGCGGACATAAATACACAGAAGGATAACGAGGGACATGGGAACACGCAGAACACAGCTGACACAGATAATCATAATGAGACAGGGCAGGAGCAAACATTACGCATACTGACGGGAGACTGTCAAAGTAAAACAGGAAGTACACAGAGGCGCAGACAGGAGGGGAGGAGAGAACACGGGGAGAGCACAGACATAACGGGCTGGGGAAAACATGGAAAAAAACACAAGGAGGAGAAACGAGGCAAGGCTCACAGATACTGACTAAATCCTTATTTCCTACCACCAACCCTGAATTAGTCTTGGTTTTCTGTTGGGAATGCTAAACCTTACTTTTTGGATCTCTGGCAATTCAGTTGATATTTTTTTACATTGTTCTTCTTTCTCAGATTCGTCTTTTCATATAACTGCATCCAGACTGCACCTTTTTGAAACTGAGTCAGTCTATTTTACCTGTAAAGGGTTTAATATTTCAACCGATTGGAAAGTGAGGAACGCCAGGGAAATCATTTCTCAATGTTTAAATGGCACTGCGACAAGGACCTGCAGGATTGATCATGCCTCTGCTTCAGATAGTGGAGAATACTGGTGTGAGAGTGGGGCAGAGAGGAGCAATGCAGTCAACATCACTGTCTCATGTATGTTATTATCAAAATTAAAATCTGAAATTTAAAAGTTGTAAGATTGAACATTGGCACATCCATGAAATTTTAAAATTACTTCCCTTCAGCTGGTGGTGTGATACTGGAGAGTCCTGCCCATCCTGTGGGGGAGGGAGATGCTGTTACTCTGCA